AAAAAAAAAGAAGAAAATGCAATTGTTGGGCAATAAATTTCCACCTCAATTTGACGGTAAAATACTAATAAATAATGTGGTTTTTCATATTTTGTTAGTATGATCGCGACAGCAAATTTTTACTGGATGATAGAGGGAAGGAGAAGGCTGAAATAGGAGAAAGGGGAGGGCCCTCGTGTATTTCCGTCGTATCTTGGATGGTCATCAATTTTTCTGATGTGAGTGTGTTTTTCAACAAGTATGTAGGTCTTATAATTTCAAGGGGCCCATAATATGGACTCCTAGGCTACAAGGCAATAAGGACCGAAAGAGATAGGGAGTTCAGTAAATGATGTAGAATTGAGATTAGCCAATCGTATGCAGGTTTCAATAGAGAAAAGAGTATAGAAATAAATTTAATTTTGATTTATGACTTGTTCATGACTGGACGGTGTATATGAAAAAGACATAGTTTTTAGCTTTCGCATTCTCATTTTTAAACAGTTAGTAGCGTTCATAAGTGTAAGACTACTGAGTTACAACATACATATATCTCAGTTATATGTCAGTTATTACTGTTTATTATTACAAATATTCAACTTTCTCTCCTTGCTCCAAAAAGGTCTCACTAGTAAAAAGATTAAAAATTGCTTTTACCAATATCTCTATGTTCAATTACAATAAGGTTCTTCGTAAAGATGTTTAAAGTCGATACCCGCTTTATTCGCAATACTAAAACATTGTGCACAAAAAAAGTAAAACACGTCAATAGGATTTTTCCTCATTGAAGCTATGCGAAAGCCATCGCTTTTCTTTACTTCATCTCCTCTTTTCAAGGGCTTAACCCAATCAGATAATGATCCCTCCCGTGGAACCGAGAAATTGTTCCCTACACTGTCGACATCGATGAGAATAGATATCGCTGATACGGTTTGTTGTAGATGTGCTTGCGCAAATCATAGTTTAGCAGCGCGTACAGTACCCAATTGCCTGAAAAAAAGGATTGAGAATTTTGAGGTAATCTCTCACTTTCAGGAAAAATTACCGGCTGCGTTGATGTATGGCAAACAATTGGCAAACAGTCGACAGTAGATGTATCTAAAATTTATCCAATAAGAATTTGGCAAGGAAGGTGGGAGAAATACTCAATAATAACTGATAATCGCAAACGTATCTTCGTCTCTAATCTCGAGCTAAATGATCTTGGAGAATCTTTTTAACGTTGAAAGCAAACAATTTCCTCTCAAAAGAACTAGGAAACTGAAGGAAAACTATAACTCTTATCTTGTTTCAGAAAGTCTGCCAACTTAATATAAGAAATTAAATTAACTTAATATAAGAAATTAAATGTTTTCTTATTCATTGAAGCCCGTCTGTCTAGAACGCAAATCAATTCTGCACTCGGGATTTTTGTATGGGAGCTCCCAGAGCGACCAAATAGTACCTTCTGACTTCAAAGCTGTTCACTGAAAGAAAAATCTCACCCTGGAAGTCGTTCCAAGAAATCATGACCACATAATTGGGCGATGTAATGTGGAACAATGGCAAAAGTCCAGAACGGAGCCCAGCAAATGAAGTGGAAGACAGCAATGCGCCAGATGGACTTGCGCATCTCATGCATGTAACGCGGCTCTTTTACCGCCTTTGACGAATTTACGGTTACTGTAAATAAGAAAGATGTGCATGGTATGTAAAGAGAAAAACATCCTTGTAATATCTCATCGTCGTATCATTTCAAAGCTACGTGAGATAATAAATAGATAAGTTGGGAAGTGATTTAAACAGTTTTGCAAAATTTTTAGGGAAATCGTATAGAAACTAAAGTCCCTTTGTCCTCAAATCTAAACATTCTTAATATAATAATATGCGTATTCATGAGAAGATTTGAAGAAGAAATGCGATGAAGTTGGGCTGCGATGTCTCAAAACAAATCAGGCAAACATTTTTGACTACTTCCCCTTTTGTGCATCGACCGAGATGAGTGTACAAAAGCAGTTTATCATGACTTAAGATAACTTAGAGGGTCTGACTTCCGAATATTGAAAATTTCAGGAATTCATCTTTGAAGAACTTCTTTTTTCACTGCTACGACTCTGCAATATCGCATACTTTAGAAAAGTAGCACATTACAGTAAGAATTTCAAGTATGCTAAGCAAGTGAATGGCCCATTATTACATGACCGAAGAGCATTTCTATGGGTTTAAAAAAAAAAGCTCATATCCCTGTAGGGAAATTGCTAGTTAGAAGCACTTTCCATGATGACTGACAAATGAAATGAACAAGAAATGTTTCCATAATTTTTTACTACTAGTTCAGGAAGCGTGCGTTGTTTGAGTCTATATTGTCCCCTGGGTGTCCCACTTTATTTAAGTTTAATGGTCCGCCTATTAGAAAGAAATGAATTAATATACCAAAAATGTCTTCATTTTAAACGTTACGTCATCGTATACAGATGTCGGAGCAAGTTTCCTTATTCCATAGTTCTAGGCTGCTAATTTTAAAGAATTTTATGGACAACTTACCATTTGGCCTTATAA